ACTCAGCATGACAGGCTGAGTTAGGCTCAGATATAAAATCCCCAAGTCCTACTGGCTTATAAAATCAAAAATTTGTGGCAAGGGAGATGGCTTAGTTAACGCATTGCTTGCTGTATAAGCATGATGACCTGAGTTCACTCCCCAGTACCATGTGAAAAGGTGGTATGTGGTGACTCAAGCCTACCCAGCACTAAAGAGGTAGAGTTAGGACAATCCCTGGCTCTCTGGATAGATGCCTAGATGAATTGGTAAGCTCCAGATTCACTGATAAGTCCTGTCTCAGAAAGTAAAGTGAAGAGTGATGGAAGAAGACATGTGACCTGGCATTGACGGCTGGCCTAAACACACACACACACACACACACACACACACACACACACACACACACACACACACACACCACTCCACAAGGTTTATTTCAATTTAGTAGAGGCATCTGGTCCACATCATCTTTATTGAAGCTGATACCATCTCCTTCATCCAGGGAAGGGAACATGGCATATGTTGTTCTCTCTCTCTCTCTCTCTCTCTCTCTCTCTCTCTCTCTCTCTCTCTCTCTCTCTCTCTTTTCTCTCTCTCTCATGCACACTGCATGAATAAGAGTCTATGGGTGCTCCTGCCCATGCGCACACATCTCTCTTTGAATCAGAAGTTTAGGATCTTGGCTAGGCTGGCTGGACAGTGAGTTCCCGGGATCCACCTGTCTTTCCTTCCTATTCCTGGGATTCCAGGCATGCAGAGCCAGGCCTGCGTTTTCACATGGGTGCTGATGATCCAGGTCAGGTGTCTTCCTCAATCACTCTCCATCTTACAGTTTTGAGACAGGGTCTCTCAGTGCCCACTGAAACATTAGGTCCAACCCTTTATCACCTCAGGAAAAATGCTCCTCATGCCAGCCCAGCAAGCACTCTCACCCAGTTATTCTCTCTTTCTCTGGCTCTATGCCCATTGGTTCTTAACACTTCTAACCAGGAGTGAGACATATCACTTCTGCTTATATTTTGTTAGCTAAAATTAGACAGCTGCATACTCAACCCAAGAGGCCAGGAGGTAAAACTCCACTTCATACACAATGTGAAGACGCCAAAGCATGGAGAACTCCTCTGACCTCCAGCTACAATGCTTCATCCTGATGTTGACCTCATGATTTCCCATGTCAGTCTTCTCCCGAATTTGTTCTCAGTTATTTTTAAGGCTAACAGATTTCTTGATTGATAGAATTAGCCAGCTGTATTTTGTTATGGTTCTAGGAAGGGAATTTTTCTTGAGGTGATAGCAGATTGGACTTAGGGCTCCTGTTCAGCTACATTTGATTGTGAATATCTGATGATGGAGTCAAGTCACCTTGGACTTTCAAAGTTTCATTGATGTAGTCTGATGTGTTATCTTAGGTCTGTGGGAGAAGTAGGCAGGACTCTTGGGAAGTCTGCAAAACACAAGGAGGCCACAAAAACCTTCCTTTCACAGACATACTCATTTGAGAACAGATTTTTCTCCCTGTCTTCCAAGCAAGACAATATATTGTAAGAGGCTGAATACAAAGAAGACATGGGAAACCAGGCATCTTCTTAGGCCAAAAGTTAAAGAGATTTGCAAAAAAAAATTAGTTCTGAAAAAATATTTTTGTAATATATAACAAACATGTATTATCTAATATAAATAAGTATAATATAATCTATAATATAATATGTAACATACATCAGATAATATTGTCTCTGTAGAGATTAGAGATCAGTAGGAAAAACTAAAACTTGTATTTATGAATACAGGATCATTGTGAGGACAAATCCCCTTAAGAGGGTTTAACCACCCTTGTTGAAACATCAAATCAACTGCATTTCTCAATTATAAGAAAGTATGTTGGCCGGGCGGTGGTGGCGCACACCTTTAACCCACAGAAAGTATGTTGGCCAGGTGGATATCTGTGAGTTTGAGGCCAGCCTGGTCTACAGAGCAAGATCCAGGACAGGCACCAAAACCACATAGAGAAACCCTGTCTTGAAAAAACCAAAAAAAAAAAAAAAAAAGTTACTGATTGGGATATATAAAGCAGCAAATAGAAAGTACATTAAAGACACAAAACAAAAATAGGCAAATTCATGTTCTCACCTACTGAGAAGCACAAGCGCCAGGTATTTACAGATGTTGATTCCACAGGCTCAGCAGTGTAAACACAGCCTCAAGACTTTACAGCCTCTCCATCTATTTGCTTCAGCCTCCTGATGTCAAAAATAGACCAACCATGCTTCCCTTTCTGTAGCTGAGGAAGCAGCCTTCCCAAAGACACTTGATTCCTTGACATCTGCACAGCATTGGGGTTCGGTTAGCAAGAGTGTCGGGGAAAATGGCGACTGGATGATTGACCGATAAGATCTTATTCCGCTGTTGCCACAAATGAGGTGCCTCGTTGCAGTGACTAACAGTACCACAAAACATTGGGCACAATCCTAAGTGTTACCAAGATCAGAGCTGCCTGTGATTCGGTAGTCACTGAGAACCCAAAGCATGGCTCAGAGCATTACAGTTTGCAGTCATGTTTCTTAAATGCTCATAGACAATTCACCCCTAACATATGCTATTCAACAATAAAACACGGTTCCATTCAGCCTCACACTACCACACTTTTGTTTACTTACTACAATCATCATGTACTTGTCACTGCTGACACATCCCATTTTTTTAATGATCTTTTTTATTAACATAATTTTTTATAGATTCTTCGGGAATTTCACACCATGCATCCCAACCCCACTTATTTCCCAGTCCCTCCATACCCACCCCTTGCTCTTGTAGTGTCCCCCTACAAGTAAACTAAGAAAGAAATAATAAAAGTAAGATAAAAGTAAAAATAGCCGGGCGGTGGTGACGCACGCCTTTAATCCCAGCACTCGGGAGGCAGAGCCAGGCGGATCTCTGTGAGTTCGAGGCCAGCCTGGGCTACCAAGTGAGTCCCAGGAAAGGCGCAGAGCTACACAGAGAAACCCTGTCTCGAAAAACCAAAAAAAAAAAAAAAAAGTAAAAATAAATAAAAATAAAATAATAAAAAAATTAAAAATGCACAATCCCATCTTTTAAATGTAATTCTTTCAGCTGAAAACTAGGAGTCATTTATTCATTTAAGAAATACAAATTTTATTCTATAACCCAAATAATTCTCACGTTTAGGTCCCTAATAAAAGTCAGAAACAACTGCAGAGATATATTATCCAATACAGCCTTGTTTTTTTTTTTTCTGAAACAGCCCACACACCATCTGTCTCATCAACTAATATGAGCCAACCAGAAAAGGAATGTATTTTCTATGATGGTTTTTGCTATAGTTGCAATAATGTATACATTATTTAGGAAATGGCCCTTTGTCAGTTTCCTTCAGGTCTCAACTTAAAATCCCCCGGAGGGACCTTCCCTGACTACCCTATACAGAAGAGGCCTCCTCTGGTGAGTTCATACCCAATCTGTCTACTTTTGTCTGTAGATCTCTTGCTGATGGCCTGTGTGCATTTGTGTACTTCCCATCTTCTCCCTAGAGGCATGTAAGGACTGGAAGGCAAGCTGGTCTTCTGTGCTGTACATTCCATACTTACCACTCATCATGCCTGATCAATATTTGGTAACTGAGTCTACTTTTCTGCATGGTCTCTCATTGAAACATCTTATGTCGTGTACTGGAAGCAAACTTTAAGATAAAAATTTCCTACCTGAGAAACCTGGTGCTAGGCAAATTCCCAGGAATCCACAAGGATGACCCCAGGTTAGACTGCTAGCAACAAGTGGTGAGGGGGGCTGAACTAGCCTACCCTGGTAATCAGAATCGTGAATACCCTAACAGTCATCATAGAGCCTTTCTCCAGTAACTGATGGAAGCAAATGCAGAGATCCACAACCAAGCACCAGGCTGAGCTCCAGGAGTTCAGTCGAAGAGAGGGAAGAGGGGTCACATGAGCAGGGGTGGGGGGGTGGGGGAGTGGGGTGTGGGGGTGTGGGGGGGTGAGGGGAAGCATCAAGATTATGATGGGGAAATCTACAGAGACAACTGAACCAAGCTCAAAGGAGCTCACGAACTTTAGACTGGCACCTTGGGACCTGCATGGGACGGGACTAGACCCTCTGCATATGGGAGAGAGATGTGTAGCTTGGTCTGTTTGAGGGGCCCCTGGCAATGTGATTAGGATCTATCCCTGGTGCATGAGCTGGCTTTCTGGATCCCATTACTTGTGGTTGGACACCTTGCTCACCCTTGATGAAGTGGGGAGGGGCTTGGTCCTGCCTCAACTGAATGAACCAGGCTTAGCTGACCCCCCCATGGGAGGACTTACCCTGTTGGAGCAGGGAATGAGAGGTGAGTTGGGGGAGAAAGGTGGAGGGGAGCGGGAGGAGGGATGAGAGGGGGATCTGTGGCTGATATGTAAAATGAATTTAAAATTATTTTAAAAGAATAAATAAATAAAAATTTCCTACCATCTATGGTATTTTGGTTAATGATACTTAGTGGTATTGAGTTTTAAGTTTACATTGTTAGTATAAATTTAATAGAAAGTATTAGAATTGCAAAAAAAATAAAATAAAATGTAGTTTTATAGTGGAAAAGACCAGTTTCTTTTTAGGTCTGTGGGTAGATTTTTCTTGCACTGTGTTTTATTCTAAATAATTTATCATGTATGAAAAATTAATCTGTTTGAGACTAACAGAGAAGTTGAAAAAATATCTAGAAGTAGAGCCTTCAAGAACCCACAGTTATTTATCTGTTCAAAACTGAACTTCTGAAATTTGTTTTTATCTTCATGAACTTAGGATTATAACCACTGCTCATTAACAGTCTCTTTGTCTTCATGGTTTTAATAATACACAGTCAGCTGTAACTATAGTATGAAGCATTAGCTATTCCGTGCCTTCAAATATTACTTATTCTTGTAGTTATTAACTGAGTAAGACAAACACCCCTCCCCACCCCACCCCCGCCCTGCTCACACATCGTAAGAGCCCAGGGAAGTGTGGCTGTTTTCAGTGGAGGCATTCCCATGCATGAGTGTGATTAGCACAGACTTGCTAAGTCTCTCTCTGAGCCATCTGTGAGCACCTTCTTGCTTTAAAACAACACACACTAGCTCTGCTCAGTTCTAAGTCAGTTTTTTTTTGTCACAACTGTTATCTTCATCTTAAACCTGGGAACATTCTCCAGCGCTCCAAGTTTCTAAATGCCATCTTAGATGAAGAATATGGTCCTCCAACTGAAAAAGATCTTCATCAAATCAATTATCTCAAATGAAATGTTATTGCCATAAAATGCTGATCACCAAAGTTTCATTTCATCTATAAAGTGGGGAAAAAGAGGGATGTTTAGGTTGGACAAGTGAGTTTTGAGCATGTTCATGTGTCTAACCCCCTCACAACCTAACAAGAAATTCACATCACTTGGGCTTACTGTTTGCTCTTTAATGCAACCTCCAGACTGATATAAATGTTTCTTCCATGAGGATAGCCTTGGTGTGAGGTCCTAGGCTGGCAAGCCAGCAATAACTGAGACTTGACTGACAGGACTTGACAGTGAATAATGAGCCACTCAGGTCCGACCAAGGTCATTGCTGCAGACCCAATACCCTCAGATTTGAAGGACTTGCTCTATTACCTCGACGGACTAGGCAATTCATGTAGAGCTTCCAGACAATTGCTGCAGTAAAGGAACCGAGACCTGCCTGGAGACCAGCACAGACACAGGCTATACTTTGAAACAAATACCAATGTCATCATAGGTATCACAACCATGTTCTCTAACAAAGATACAAGTGTAAACCCTGATCTTTTAAAAATGGGTTATTTTAGCATTTATTCTTGTGTATATTTGTGTGTACACTTGGGTGGCTGAAGAGGTCAGAAAAGGGCATCAGTTTCTCTGGAGCTGGAGATATAGGTGATTGTGAGCCACTAGTTGTGGGTGCTGGGAACTGGAACTCAGGTCCTCTGGAAAAGCAGCAAGTGTTCTAACCGCTGAGCTATCTCACCAGCTTCCAAGTCGCATATTTTTAAAAACTGGCAAATCTGCAACATTTAAAACAGGGTTGATTATTTAGTTCATCATCAGGCCCAACCTGAGAGAAACCAAGAAAGAGACCATCCTTTAATATCTGCTTATCATTTTGCATATAACTAAATTATATAACTATACAAGTTAACAACACTAAATTAATTCGCAGAACTGTGTACCTGTCACAGTTCAATTTCACAACATCTCAGTTATCCCCCAGAGAGAGACCTCTTATACCCATTAGGTTTAGGGGTTTGTATTCAATTTTTTACATTTTCCAGGAAAACATAATTAGGTAATTAAAACAGAAACCAAAAATGTTAATATATTTTACTCAATTGGTATTCAGATAGGAATGAATAATTTGCCTGGCAAGGCACATATCTTATGTGTACAGTGTTTAAACAAAAAGTCTGGTTTCTTAGACAGGTGTACAGTCTTCCTTACCTGTACAGTCTTCACAAGACCATGAAGAAGAGATGAGTACAAACTGCCCTCTGATGACTGGTGAAGCTGGCATCATCTGGAGGCACATGGTGGCGAAGTGGCAGTGAGTCACAGCAATGCCCCATTCCTTCACACATCTGTTTGCAGCTCCATTTGTAAGTGGGGATCAAGTCATACCCTGTGAGGTCATCCTGTCCCTGGGGAAGTGTGCCACAGCAGGCCACATTCAAAGTGGATGATTAGTTCAAATTCTGATTTTAGCTTTTTGTTTGTGTATTCCTGACACTATTGATGCTCATCCTGTTCAAAGTATGGTCTTGCTGTCTTCCTGGCTCCCTCCTTGGGGACCATCCCCTAGCACTTCACCTCTGGGATAAACTCCCTTTCTTTCTCATGTTAGTCCTGCAATAATAAAGAAACAAACAAGAAAACATGTTAAGCACACATATGTAAATTCATAATTTCTCTCTGGTAGAATATAAAGCTTGGTGGCTTGGATGTTTGTGAAAATGTAGCTTCCTGAAGTATGGCAGTCATGATTATTTTTTTTTTTTTGTTCATGAGTGGAGCCTAAATTGTAGGAATTTGAACTAACCACCCACTTTGAATGTGGCCTGATGTGGCACATTTCCTAAGGGACAGGATGACCTCACAGGGTATGACTTAATCCCCACTTACAAATGGAGCATGTAAGAGCTGTCTCCACTACTCATCTGTCTTATGATGGCAAGGGCAGGGGAGAGATGTTCCCCTCCCCCATCAACACCTGAGGCAGTTAGGAGAGCTGGTCCTGAGGTCATACAAGCTAGAGAGCTGTCCCTGCCCACCAGGCCCTGCAGCTTGCCTGGGCAGCACAGTAGAGATGACCCTGTTGGTGGAGGTGACAAACTGCTCCTGATGATATGAAAGCCCCGGAGAACTGGCCCCGCCCCTTGTTCATTGCTGCATGGGGTGAACTAGCCAGAGCAATGCTGGAGGGCTCACCCTGGTGGCAAAGACAATGGGGGTGGGGTGGAGGGGTTGGGGGTGGGAGGTTGGGGGTTGAGGGGGTAGAGGGGTGGAGGGCAGGCTTACCAACCCTGCAATTACCCAGACCCAGGACCAGGGTTATGTGTTGGCTCATTTCAACATCTACCCCATCTGTGATCTGCTAGAGTATGGGGAGCAAGGTGGGGGGGTGTCCTGTTGACCCAGGGCTGCAGGATCTCCAGGACACAGGTCACCAAGGGGGTGCTAAAGAAGAGTTCTAGTGAGGCCCCAGCATCAGTGGTGTAGCAGAGACCAGGGGCCTTGAACCAGACCGATGCTTCTTTGCAATAAATGGCTGCATGTAAAAATAAAGGGGTTTACTGCATGACTCACTGTGTCACACTGCAGCTTCCACGACGAGATATTCCCCTTCTTCCTTTTTTCCCCCTTTATTCTCTTAAATTTTATTTTGTTTTATTTAGGGGGAGGGAAATGGGTGGGATCGGGAGGCGTGATATGAAAGACACAAAGAATTTTAAAAAAAAAAAGAAAGAAAGAAATGGAGCAGCAAACAGATGTGTCTGAAGGAATGGGGCATTGCCGTGACTCATTGCTGCTGTTGCCACCATGTGCCTCCAGATGATGCCAGCTGCACCAGTCATCAGAGGGCAGTCCATACTCACCTCTTCTTCAATGTTCCAGATGATGCCAGCTGCACCAGTCATCAGAGGGCAGTCTGTACTCATTTCTTCTTCAATGTTTTATGAGGACTGTACAGTTAAGAAAGTTAAGAAACACCTCCATAGTGGGTGTTTAATAAACGCTTGAATAAATGAAGTTTTTAATATTTCAGTCCTAGTAGATTATGGAGGTTGGTCTCTAGCTTGTGGGTGTGTTTGGAAGAGCATGTTTAATATGTTATGGAGAGCATGTACTGCAAATGTACTGGTGGTGCTCAACATGAAATTCTAAAACCTAAACTGTAACATGTGCATGTTAGACTACAGATGGTTATAAATCTGCATTTTTATAATATATTTGAAACTTTATTACATTTTAATTAATTGTGTATGTGTGTGTGTGTGTGCATGTACATGCATGCATATATGTGCACGTTGGTGGAGGTCAGAGGATAACTTAGTTGCAGAAGTGGGTTCTCTACTTCCACCATGGGAGTCTCAGGGATTGAAGTCACTGAACTCAGCCCTTACCTGCGCGTCTCAGCAGCCCTTTGTCTAGCTATTTGATAAGACTTTATATCCTCATGCTGAATCAAGCTTAAGGCGTATGTGCATCCATTCTAAAATAATAAATATGATGTTCCTGAAAAGTATACAAGTGTTCTTGTCCTCTGGAACAGCTTAAAATTAACACTCCCCTTTGTGATTTATCTATGTGAGCCTATCTTTGATGAAAATGATAAGCTGTGCAGAAAAAAAGGAAAAAACAATAAATAAAAAGAAAAATAGTATTTCCCCATGGGGGACTTAGCTTCAAGCCCCATGCAAATAGATGGTTTAATAAAAATCAGTGTAGAAATGAAAGATTTAGGATTTTTGTAGTTCTAGTAATCTGTATTTTTACTTCTCAGTTTAACATGAACTTGGCCAAGCATTACTCTTGCTATATTTTTATTAACTGGCTCTCTCTTTTCCTTCTGGGGATGTACTGTTCTCAGGTTTATGTATGCCTGTAGTTGGAAGTTTTTCTGTGTCCCACCCAGCCACATGGTCCCTCAGCTGCTTATAAAGTAATCATACAGAGGCTTAATATTATTTATAACTGCTCAGCCATTTGCTCAGGCTTATTACTGACTAGCTCTTACACTTAAATTAATCCATAATTTTTATTTATGTTTAGCCATGTGGCATGGTACCTTTTCTCAGTTCTGCCTTGTCATCTTGTTTCCTCTGTGTCTGGCTGGCAACTCCTGATTCTGCTCTTCCTCTTCCCAGCATTCTCTTCTTCTGCTCACCCCACCTATACTTCCTGCCCGGATACTGGCCAATCAGTGTTTTATTTATCAACCAATCAGAGCAACACATATTTACAGCACACAGAACAACATCCCACAGCACTTCCCCTTTTCTATCTAATCAAAAAGAAGGTTTTAATTTTAACATAGTAAAATTACATATAATAGAACAGTTATCAAGCAGGAATTACAATTACAATATCTAGTCCATTTACATTTGGTAAAATTAAGGAAAGTATTTTATCATCTATCCTTTATTTGTGAGTCTAAAGTTTCATATCTAATTTATCTTGTATCATAACAAAGGAAAATTATAACTGTAATTATTTAGTCTTCAACTACATCAAAGATCCCAGAAGGATATAATATTACCTAAGTAAACAGGAAATGCATTGTAAGCAACTTCCAAAAATCTAGAATGATGGAGAAGGCTGACTACCTGGACAGTCACTCAAAGTTTCTCTGCAACATTGGGGCATCATTCTTCACCTATAGGCCTAGAATCTCTCAGTTGCTTCTCTCTGTGTCCTGTAGAATATTTTGCAGTCTCCTCTGCGAAGCAGGAACCTGAAGGACCATCTTGCCTTGTTTTGACAAATTTAGTGGTCATTTTCCCAGGGGTCCTGCATGTCCAGTTGATACAACATTTTGTCAAGCAGTCCAGGCAATAACAGTTTCTTGCCAAAATGGCTATTTTGCCAAGAAGAAGATAAACTCCATATGGAGTATCTTTGACGCCCATCTTTTTTTTTTTTTAAGTAAATCAGTATTGCCAGGAGCAAACATGTCTCATTGTCCAGGAAAGCCTAAGTTTTTAAAACATTTTAAATGCCATATTCTGTAGGTCTTTGAAGTGTTTGAAGATTGACTACCTAATTGAAATATATCTATGTATACCTAGAAAACTTAACTAACATGACTATAAGTTTGATTATCATAGATGACTAATTATTAATCTGTATTTCTCAACTATACATTACAATTTCAAATGAGCTGCACAAACAAAATACTTAAAACAAGAGTAGAAATATACATACAATATAACATAATTAGCTTTAAATTTGTACCAATAAACTAAAATCCATAGCAATATAAAACATTTTAAACAAGTTGCTGCTCTTTAAAAGCAGATTTAATAATCTACCCTTTCATCCTATCATATCTATAGCCTACATTTCTATATCATATGCCATTACCACACTCTCTCCCTCCTTCTCCATGCCAGATTGATTCACCTTGATTGTCAACTTCTCAGGTATTTGATGGCTACCAAACACTAATTTCCAACCTCATGAGGTTCTTCTCCCAGAGTTACTGACCTCATTTCTTCCTTCCTCCTTGAGGACCATAGCCATCACTCAGTACCTTCTCTCTTGAGGATCCTCCTCTCCTGATCTGCATTCCCCTTCACTCTTTTCTTCTCAAGAGGGTGCCCTCAACACTCTTCATTTCTTTAGCCTGAATCTATAAACCAACTTGCAGGAAAAAACTTCTGCCCCTATGCATTCAAGCAATGTTTTCTAAAGCCATATAGACTCCAATCAAACCAACACCTGTCATCATTTTGTTGGCTTTTTTCTTCCTTGTTGGAAGTCTTTTACTTCATCTTCCAATGTCACCGGAACCTTGACTTACTTTTATTGCCCCCAGTCCTCTTCAGTGCTTTGTTGTATGCTGGCTCATTTAAGAAATGTCACCTCCAGAGCTCTGGCCTTGGTTTGCTCTCACAAGCTACAACATTTCCTCAGAAAACCAATCAATTCCTATTGTTGATCACCCTTTGTTGATGTTCCCACATTTAAGTCTTTAGTCTTAAGTTCTCTGCTGTACCCCAGTACTCAAATCTCTGGTTGCTCCCTGAGTATCTTCATCTATACTCGTCAGGACTTCTCAGAAGCCACCAGATCCACCTGAGTTCTTGTCCTTAGTGTAACTGTGTTTTGCACACAGGAAGGACAGTGAACTGCATATCTATTCAGCAGCATCAGGGAGAGATGGTCTCTATATGCTGGTTATTTCTGTTTCTCCTCTTTGAAGGAATATGGTGAAAATGTATTTCCCTTCTCCTGTGAGATCAATGTGTCATCTCACTACTTTAGGAGAGTGAAGTGTTTTGGGGGCAATGTGTATCACTTTCGGCACACAATTTTACTTGTGTCTCCCTGTTAAAATAGCTGGCAACAGTCTGAAGATACCAAGCTTCATCAACTTGCCTCCAAGAGCCAAGAAGCTTAAAAGCCAGTCTTCCAGTAGACAAAACAGGGTGTATGCAGGATGACTGAGAAATTTAGCCCCACCCCACCTCTACGTTAAGCTTGTGAAACTTTGGAATTACTTCTTACTAACATATTGACCATTCTATCCTGACGGATTGAAGAACCAGTATCAAATTCATTATTTTGTTTTCCCTCTCTGGGTCATTTAAAAAAACCAAAACATGGAAGTATCTCTTTTGCTCTGAGTCTGCTGTGGTCTTGTCTGCCTGAGCCAGCACCACCCACCATTCCACTCTCCTGCTGATCGTCAGTCTTCCACCAGTACTTACAGAACAAAGTCAAAGTGTCTGAGCATGGCGTATTAGATTCTCAATGACCCACGACTGCCCTGTCTCTTTAGCCACATCTCTGTGTCAGCAGTCTCTTCCCCTCTTACCCGGTTACCATACTCACAGACAATAACATTCTTCAACTGATCCTTCTAGAAATCCCAACTTAGGTTTCATTAGCTCTAAGCAGGCTTTCCTAATTGTACCTAAAAAATAAACTAAGTCCTCCAGACCTTCATTTGTAAATGTAAAATGTTCTTCAGAAATTAAATATCTTCTTTAAAAAAGTCATTGGTTTGGCAGCCACCATCATGACCATAGATTACAATCTTCCTGAGTAAGGAGAGAACATTTAAGTCATTGTATTAAAAAATATCATATTTAGTACATTGCAGGTGCACCAAAGATATTTATTTGACTTGAATAGGTCCCTTCATCAAATAGGTCATGTCTGTAAGGTCATAATATTTGTATTACATTTATTTATGTAGTGTGTGTATGTGTGTGTGTGTCTATGTGTATATATGTGTGGTGTGTATCTGTGCACGTATATGTATATGTGTGTGTGCGCGCTTGGGTGTGGAAGTAGTGTGTTCTCATGCCACTGCTGTGTGTGGTCAGAGGACAATTTGTGGGAATCAGTTTTTTCCTTCTACTTTGCAGGCTCTGGAGGTCAAACTCAAGCGGTCAGACCTGGCCGCAAGCATCTTAACCTGCTGGGCCATCTTGCCAGCAGGCCATAATATTTTTTAATCGTTTTTATCATCTGCCAAGAAAGGGCTTACTGTGTGCCAGACATACAACAATCATTTTTGTTACTCTAAGCTGTTGAGTCAAGCAGTGGGCTTCTATCGTCACTGATGGATTATCTAAAGAAACCAGATCTCTTCCCCCTGGCAGTTACGTCATTGTGGCCTCCCAGGTAAGAATTAAACTAGTTCTTTTCTTATGAAGTAACCAAGTGAATAGAAGTGGTACTACAGTTATGTCATTGCTGTCTCCTAGATAAGAATTAAACTGGTTCTTTTCTTATGAAGTAGCCAAGTGAATAGAAGCCGTACTATAGCTTACATCAAGGTTTTAGTCTGCAGTGTTTGAGGAAGTTCAATTCCAGTATTTAAAATGTTTTGGAAAGAAATTATAACGTTTACATGTCATCTCTACTTTGAAACAGAACTTTTTAAAAGCCAGGATTAATGAACCTCTACAGGTAAAGGAGGAGTAACGCCCAAGAACTAGTACAAGAAGAATAAATAATTTGTCTCATATCATAACCTCCCAAGAGCTTATCAGCTGTATCTTCCCCAAACTACAGAAGGATTGTCTAACTATCTACTGATAAAATACCAAGCGAAGGCAGAGGTGTAGAGATGATCACTCAGGGCTTACTGGAGAGAGATGACAGCAGTCTGGAGAGAGTCGTGAGGATGTGGGAAGGCACTGAGACCACGTGACAACGAACTCTGCTTCCCTTGGCTGTAACAATCAGATTTTCACAATTTATCTCTTGTTGCCGAAGTGTGTCTGTCCCCTTCAAATAACAGGCAGATTTTGGACAGAACTAACACAGTTTTTTTTTTAAAAAAAAAAAAAAACAGTACATTTATTATTGATCCATATTTCTACACACAGAGACACTTGGGGTTTGTGTGTGTGTGTGTGTGTGTGTGTGTGTGTGTGTGTGTGTGTGTGTGTGTCTGTGTCTGTCTGTCTGTCTGTTGTTCCAGAGGGAAAAGATAAAGGCTATTGTTTTTTTCTCCTTACTCCATATCCCCCTTTAGAACCCAGGCTGCTGCAGAGCCAGCTGCACTTGCTGAAGGCCAAAGAGCTAAGCCAAGAGTCAGGCAATTACCAGCCCTCGGCATTTTTGCAGAAATACACAAAACGTGTAGAATCGCTTAATTCTATCCCCTCCTAACCTCTTCACATGGAAATTGGCTGCTCCGGCACATGCTGTTTTTCTCCCAGGCCGTGTGTCAGGGGGGCTATTAACACTCGCTCTTGCAGCGGGTTCCCGGGCCATTTGGGATGTGCACGCGTTCACACCAGCGCACGGCCCGCGGTGCCTTCACGCGCTGCCGTTTTGTTTATGTGGAGCGGGGGGCAGCCCGGGTGCGAAGGTCTGCAAGCGCAGCCGGCCGTGGGGACTAGATAAAGCCCGGCTGCCACACCGAAGCGGTCGCGCTGCCATGGACACCGCTGCGGAGAGCGCCGAGCGCGCGCACAGCCCAGCGTGCCCATCCCCGCGCAGCCTCCACCCGCCGCCAGCGCAGCCCGGGTACCTATCAGCTCGGATCCGTCCCCGCGCACTCTCCACCCTCGCCCCGTGCCCGCCGCTGCCCGAGGAGCCAGAGGACCGCCTGGCCCTGGCTCATCCCCACGCACCCTCCACCCCAGCCCTCGCCCTGTGCCCGCCGCCCTTGCCCGTGCCCAGTGTCCGTGCTGCGTCCTAGTTGTGTCCGGTGGTCGGGCTCACGTTTTTTTTTTTACGCGCGACTTGCGCTTGCCATCCTGCAGGTCCGAGGGCTTCTGGAGACCTTGGCTTCGAACCCCAGGCGAGAAAGAGGAGCGGGCGGAGCCCCATGCTGCAGAGACTGTGAGTGACAACGTGGTCTGCAGAGATTCAGGCTGCAGAGCATCCCCATTCCCCATCCCCAACCCAGGCCTGGGGACTAAGGCCCTAAGTGACCTGTGCTCCCAATCTGTCACTTAACAGTGTGCCTGCCCCAGACCCTATGGGTATGAAGGCAGGCTGGGAAATTCTCTGCAATGATGCAGCTAGCTGCAGCTGAAGAGCTGGTTTGCAGAGAGGCGCAGGGTCACAGTCCCTACCTGAGCCAGAGGCACTGGGTGGCACACACCTTCTCAATTTCTACAAAGAGATGCATGGTCACTGCGATTACTCCTTTCCTTCCTAGTTGCCCAGTGGCCCTGAAGTGACTGAAGCCTCAGGGAAGCTTTCTCAATACCGACACCCTGTCAGGTGAGTCACAGGCCTTACTGAAGGTCTTCAACTCCAGCCCTAAGGAGATGGGGACATCAGCATACCTCCCAGTTGGATAGCTGCCTCTGTAGTTTCTCTGTCTTGGAAAATTGGCAGTTTCTCTGTGTTCCCATTCTGAGGAGGATTCTGTTACTCAGGGGATGGGAAAATACAGGATTTATCACATAAAAGGACTGTCAGTTGGTCCATGGTGAGTAAATGCTAAGAGAACTGGCTACAAGAGAGAAAACAGACTGATTAGGAAAGCGGATGGGTGGAGTGGGGGACGTATTTCAGTGGCAGGGTGCTTACCTGTCCTGAAGGAGGCTTATAAGAGGGGAGATATCCTGTGCCAGAAAAGTTGTTTTGAATTTTCATTTTATTTCATTATTTTTAATTCTGAAAGGACAGTGTGAAACTGACTTCACAGAGTGCAGAGTGTATGCATTATTTTCTTCCAAACCAAAAGGAAAAATGGGGTGGACAGTTAACAGGTTTGGTCCAGATCAAGCTGGACACTTAAGAGAAGCTGGCAATGACAGGAACATTGAGCAGATTACCAATGACTAGGCTGAGCGGGGTCAAAGGTGACCCAAGGCTGGTCCAGCTGTTTACTATTTTTGTTTTGACTGTTTTTTTTGTTTAATTTTTTCCACAGGAAGTCAACCATTCTATAAGATTCTTTGTAGCTTTTTAGCTTTTATTTGAGACTAAATGTTTATAATTATGTGGCCTCAGGACTGTTAAAAGAAGGCTGGTGTGCCTGTGTCTAAGAAAGCCTGGCCTATGACTATGTGTTTATATGTGGTGTACAGTAGTCTTGATTGCCTACATATGCTAAAAGTAATTGAGGGTCACAGGGGGAAGCAAGTGACAACTGTCAGAATAGAGTTTACTGTGGTCAGATTATTTTTTAAATTTTTATTTTTATCTGTCTGATCATTTTGCCTGTGTGTATGTGTGTGAACCATGTACATGCCTGGTGCCCACAGAGGTCAGTAGAGAGAGTAAGATCCCCTGGAACTGGAGTTACAGATGGTTCTAAGTTGCTGTGTGGGTGCTGGGACCCGAACCCAGGTCCTCTGGAAGAACACTCAGTGTTCTTAACCACTAAGCCATCCCTCCAGCCTTACTTGGGCCACTTTTGAAATGAGTTCAGGGCACTAAATACGTAATTGTTGAAGGGTTGGGGAAAGCTCACAGAGGGTGCATTATACATTAGTTATGGTTACTGTGCTGAGTCACCAAGAGTTAGATAAAGGAACGTTTGGTTCAAATGAAATGACATTGAAAAAGAGAGACAGGATCTTGGGACAGCATGGCTCCTGCTGAGCTCCAAAGACCAGGGATTTGGGGGTGTGTCGCTGCAGTGGTGGCAGCCAGGTAGTAAAGGCCAGAGCCTCTACATGTCCATACAGAGCTGTGTCCAGACCCATGGACTTTGCACTGTCGAAGGGGTCAGTGGTTATCGATTTTAGCCAGAAGAATGATGTCATCAGATTGACGTTTAAGGAAAATCAGTAGGGGACTGGAATAAAGACTTCAAGCTCCCAAAGGGAAACTGGAAGGAGTTACAAGTAAGAAATGAAGGAGAGCCTTTCTAAGCCATCAGAAGTGAAAGTGGGGCTTAGTGGAGATGTAGGAAGTATTTAGGTGACAAAGCTGGGCTTTATAATGCACTGGGAAGGTAAGTGAAGAACAGCTGAACAGCCAGAATGCCTCCCAAATTTGTGGCTGCTGACCAGGTGAGTGCTGTTCTATGACGATGCAGATGTGGGGAATGAGGGAATGAGTCTGATTTTTCAGTTGTTGAATTGCAAGAGCTTTAGGGCATCCAAGCAGAGCAATTAGGGAGAGCGTCACATGCATGTCAGGAGCCAGCCTGAAACTCTGCAAGCACAGGTGTGAGGTGTATGAGTATGAAAGGCTGGGGAACTCATGAAAGGGGTGAGGTCATCCTAAAGAAGTGCAGAGGGAAAAGGTGATTATTCTCAAAGAAGGCATAGGGGAAGAGTAGCCTCCACCTAGTACATGGAGTAAGGGAGGGCTGTAGAGGTGACAGAAAAATCAGAACAGGGGGAACTCAAAAAAGGGTGCCATCCCTGGAAGAATTGTCCACAGAGAAATTCTGACCACAGTGTGATGGGGGCAGGGGTTGGTGATTTTAGTTACATATTAGAACATATATTGGTATATTGTAAACAATTCTTTTCTTTGTTGAAAAAAATCAATTGTTTTCTTATTTAATTTTTATTAATCTCTATCTTGACTAATACTGTGCACTGTATACTTTTTATTCAGTGGTCAATTCTTTGAGGGTAGGGTTCATGATTTATTCACTTTTGATTGGTGGATCATGTTGGTACAAGAGCTCACTACCACACTTATTGAATGCATAAATGCTATTTGTTTAAGCATCTGGTTTATAAACTCTTAATATGTTATGCTAGAAAATATATGTAAACTCTGTTGCCTAACTTTTAAAATTGAGCACATTGAACACAATATAATCTTTTCTTGGTTAGACACACTCAATTATATGTAGATAGGGTTCTTTGCCCTACACTAAAGTGACTTCATGAGAGTTGTCAGCTCATTCCTGTCTATTTCTTTTCTTTGGATGAAAAATAAAAGAGACCATCAGGCCAGATTAATAATGATCAATTTTTAAAATTCTGAGGTAACGAGGCTTATTTACAAAATAATTGTATAAAACATATATAATTCTCAATACATTGATACAGTGTTCCCAGAGTCAGTGGGATAAGAGAGAAGATGGATTGGAAATAAAGACTGGTGTTGAAGCAGCTTTTCCACCTAGCAAATTGTGGAGGCATAGACAAGCTTTTAAAGTTACTGTTCTTATACATTTCTGATTAAGCGTATTGGCTGTATCTATAACAAAGAGCTGTATTTAGAGTTTTCTTCTGGACAGTGGGTGGTTGCTGCCTATCCAGGGTCCAAACATTCTGTCCTCCTTGTGAAGTTGGCTATCACCCACACCCATGTATTTGACGTAGTGGTGGGATGTATTTGCCTTCTAAAGAAATTTAGAAAATGGAAGTCTAACCTTCTACATTTTGTAAAAAACATATACATAACTCATGAAGTAAGGTAAGCATTGATCTTCTGCTGTTAGAGGCTGTAGACAGCTTTAAATCTAACCCATAGCTTGGATAAAGATGTAAAAGTATCAACCATTTATTTGTACTTTGGCAAGCAGACTCTGTGAAAGCTGTGACAGTAGCAGTTTTAAACTCTCCATCTCAAGGCTGTCTCTAAAATGTGTAAACAAATTGTTAAGCATAGAGATCTTGTGGAAATTGATCATTTAGTGGCTATTAGGATCCTGAATGTGTAAACGTAAGGATGGTGTGTTGTCTGCTTCTTTCAGACTGTTCTGGCCCAAGTCCAAGTGTTATGATTACTTATATCAAGAAGCAGAAACTCTTCTGAAAAATTTCCCAATTCAAGCTACGATTTCGTTTTACGAAGATTCTGATAGTGAAGATGAAGTTGAGGGGCTGGCCTGTGAAAATTAGTCTAATTAGTTACTTCTTGTAACATTTGAACTGTGGAGGATTTGAATTTTGTGTATACATGTATCATAAACTTTTTAAACTAATTTATTTGTATATAAATTATTAATAAAAAAATAGTTTGTAATCAGTATAGTTTTTTGGCTTTTCTTTGTCCCTACACTAGAATTAAAGATTGGGATTGAAGATAGGTATCATGTACAAATGTTCTGATTATGTTATAAATATCTGGGTTCACAAAGGATACTTTTGGTCTCTTCATTAAATTGCAAGTTTATCTTTAGTTATAATTTTCCAAAGGACAATAGTATTTGTTTGTTTGTTTGTTTTTTGAAGACTGGCTCTTGTAATGTCTGCTGTTTACTATTGATCTCAATTGGATGTTATAGCTATAGATAATGTAATCTTGGTAGATAGTAAAGAAAATTGCATCATGTTCTGAGTCTCACATATATTAGTATATGTTTGCTAGCTGATGGTGAAAATGCTTTAAGTAATAATCTATAATTGAGAAAAGAAAACAATCTTAGGTCCCTTGATTTTTAAGGACTGTAATTAAGTAGTGAATAGTATGACTTTCACTCTAATACTTTCCTGTTGTCCTTGATCTGGTGTTCAACACTTACTGTACATGTTGAGGGATTCCTACGATTAAAACAAAATGTTTAAATTGGAATTATTTCTATGGAGTCTAAAAAAGTTTAGAACATGAAAATATTTTTTCTTGTCCTAGGTAAAGCTAAGATTTGGCAGACATGAACTTCAACATTATCAATTTTCCTTTTTTTTTCTAGTTCCCTGATCACAATATTCTCATATAAATATTTTCTTATGGGAAGCCAAATAAATTCTCAGTGATTGCTTTATCTTACATAGCCATCACATAAGAAAAATTACTCCATTATTTAATGAGACAGAAAATGGGCAATTTGCATGGTTAATATAAACTATATATAATATTTATATAATATAAACATATAAACTATAATCATGAAGTCCTTTTAGCTCATATGTGATCATCAAATTAACAGTTCAACTATAAGTAAACATATTTTTATTAACTTGTAATCTGAGCTACTTGTGAGGATGAGGCAGGAAAACCCAAGCTGGATGCTTGCCTGCAATATCTCAAAAATATTTTCCTGAAATATTCCAGAACAAAAATAGGTAAGGTGGAGATGTGAGGTAATTACACAGCTAAGAAATGCTTCTTGCTTGAATGGCTAAGCATATCTACAGACTTTATCTTATCATATTAAAACATATTATCACAATTTTGACTGCCAGGAACTCTGCAGACTACATAATTGAAATAAATAATGTGTCCAGAGTCATGAAAAATTAGTACCCAGCAGAGAATGGATAGCGTTACTCAGAACTGTTCTTTGGGAAAATGTTTGCTTGGTCTGTGTATTCTCCCAGATACATGCAAGAAAAGGTCCAGGATGTCACCAACCCAGACCCACAACATTAGATGCTTCTTTTGTTAACAAATTAGGATAGTATAAGGTGCCCTGTCTTTTGTTTGATACCTATTAGTAATCATATCTGCAGTGTAGTTTAGATATGGCCATTTATTTCTACAGAAACCCAAGCCCATGCAGTTAGATAAATGTTCCTTTAATAAACTAAAAGTAACTCACACAAACCATTAAGTATAAGGACGACTCCAAAACCAAATCACTCCATTTAGGGGTGAGCTTCTTGAAGATTTAAGGGAAGGTGAAAACTTATGGGAGGAGGAAGAATGTGTGAGTGTGTGTCTAGAGTAGGAGACTGGAATCGTTTTTTTTTTTTTTTTTTTTTTTTTTGGTTTTTCGAGACAGGGTTTCTCTGTGTAGCTTTGCGCCTTTCCTGGAACTCACTTGGTAGCCCAGGCTGGCCTCGAACTCACAGAGATCCGCCTGGCTCTGCCTCCCAAGTGCTGGGATTAACGGCGTGCGCCACCACCGCCCGGCTGGAATCGTTTTTTAATCGTTTTCCAGACAGAGGACGCAGAAAGGTGAAGTTTTCTTCTTAACCCACAAGCAGAGGCTTCTTGCATTTGGCTTCTTGGCTAGTGAAGTTGTGAGAGCCTCTTCCCTAGAGCTTAGTGTTTTACAGGAGAGAAATATTCAGCAATCTGAAAGTTTTGATAGTGCTATTTCCTTCCATATTTCACGCAGTCTGATGTTTTTTATCAAGGGAGAGGTGCTGATGTTCTGGGTGAGCAGGGATCTACAAGAAGGACTCGATCAGCACCAGGGCTGAGGAACAGCTTCACCCACTAATCTTTCAGCAGAAAGCTGTCATTTCCCTGTGGTGCTGAAGTTTGGGACCAGAGACTAACTGAGCATGCGCCTCTACAGCATAGGCCATCCCCCTGCCCTCCACCCCCCCCCGCGTCCGTCGCGAGCTCCTTCCCTCTGACTCCGCCCCCACCCCGCCTGCCGTGAGCGTGCTACGTCACGGCGCGCCTGACCCTTGGCGACCCCGGAAGTGGGTCGGGGGCTTGGCCTCTGCCCGGCCGCGGAGCCGGAGCGGGCGGTGGTGGCCGCTGGGGTCCCGCCAGGCGAGCCTGTCTAGTGGCGGAGCCCGGAAGCGGCCCGGATCGCGGGCCCAGGATGCTGAACGTCCCTTCCCAGGCTTTCCCGGCCCCCGGCTCCCAGCAGCGCGTCGCCTCCCAGGGGCGCAGCAAGGTAAGCGGGGACGCTGTTGTCCGCCTTCTCAAACGCCCTGAGTCTGTTCGTGCTGCTGAAGCTGGCCTCTGTAGGTCCACCCGGGACCCTGCTTCCGGCGGAGTTGCTTCCCTCCCTCAAGCTGTCCGCTCCGGTCTTTTGTTCTTTACTGTCAGAAGGACAAGGCGGAACAGTAGCGGCCAGAGAGACTACTTCACTGCAAGGTCTGCAAACCTCCCATCAGATTTACCGCCACCTCTCCAAGTCCTACTCCTCTGTGCATGTGATAGCCAGTTGTCCCAGCACTGCCTCTTCCATGGACACTCCTGGCTGACTTTGAATTTGATACCATGCTCTTGAATATTTGTTGAATATGGTTACTGTTAGCAGCAGGTGGAACACGGATATATATTTACAAAATTCAATAAAAATTGTGCCCTGTGTTCACTGCCAGGCGAATGCTATTTGCTTATGTTATCTTGGTACTTCCTTATACAATTACCACATTTTGGTGTTTTCTTTTGGGACTTCTACCTTCTTGGGCCACTCAATTTCTGTGTTAAGTTTTACTTTATATGACTTTGGGACCCTCACTGAATGTTTCTATTTTTCTCCACTTAGACCTGGAGTTCTGACTTTAGATCAGAAAATGAGTTGAGATTTTTATTTATTTTTCAGAAGTCTGTGAACCCAGCTTTGATCATACATAGTATTGAGGTGTTTTATGTGCTGACTGATGGCCATGTATGTCTTGAGTATATTTCCTATGTCCATTGAATCTTCATAGTTATCCTATGGAGTGGGGGCTTTTACCATCTCCATTCCGGGTAAAAAAAAAAATAGGTTAACAAAGGTCTGACATTAGTCATGTAGGCTTGTGATGTGATTATGACATTTCCTTCATGGCCATGTGTGCTTCAGCTCACCAGCCATCAAGTCATGTATCTCATCCTCCTGCTGCTCTCCTTAAGCTAAATGCTTGACTGTGTATTCAAAGGCTACCTTTGCAGAATGAGAAAATCAGTTACTGCCTTTCTCCATTCAAACTGTTAGTTTTCAGCAGTCATTTAAAGGAGAAAACTTCTCAGCAAAGATAAGAAGTTACATAGTTGTGGTAGCAAAAGTGAGTTTTGTTGTCCCAAAACAGGACAAAATAAGCTTTTTGTGTAATTTAATAGGAACCTCAGACTGGATTAATTTCTTTGTTATGAAACGAGACAATCTTGAACCTGTGAGAAGCTGAGTGGGAACTGGATGAAACAGTCAGATGGAGTTTGAAAAACTGGAACATGGCTGGAGAGGTTGTTTGATACAATTGTTTAAACCATAGACTTTGAAGTAGGAGAGAGATTCCTTTCCAAGATGCACCACTTAATCTCACTCACTTTTTGTTCAGGTGTATTTAGGGTTGACACTAAGTACCAGTTTTTGTTACTGCCTTAGTCATAGGGTTAAGTGATAGTATTCATGGCACAGCATGGGCAAGCACTCAGCAAATGTTACTTACCATAAGCCTTCTGTTCACATCTTACCAGTTTGAATCTTCCATGGAATTGGATTCATTATGTGATAGCTGTTCTTATTTCTACTAGCAATTTCCTAAATCAGTATTGATTGAGAAACCGTGTAATGGTTGATTGAGCAATATCTTCCATAGACTAAGACATTTGAACATGTGGTCCCCTCTTGTTGGTGTTGTTTGGGGACATAATGGAACCTTTAGGAGGTTTGGCTTTGTTGGAAACAGTGTGTCACTTTGGGCAGGCTTTGGGGGTTTATAATGGCACCACAGTTCCAGTTTGCTTTCTCTGATTCATTTCTGTGTGCAGGTGACATATATAGTGAGTCAGCTTCCTGCTCTGGCTGCCAGCTGCCATGCCTTCCTTGCCATTATGGACTCCCTTTCTTGAACCATAAGCCAAGATAAACTCTTTCTTCCCTAAGTTGATTTTAGTCACAGCAGCAAAAAGTAACTAATACAGTGTTATGGTGTTGTGAAGATGGTGAAGGTGTGGTCTCTGATTCGAGGGACTTAGTCTCTGTTACAGGCTCTACAGATAAGTAAACAGTTATAATTCGTGCTTCAGTAGGGTGTTGTCACCAAGAACAGGTTGGAGTCAAACTGGAGAAAATACTGCGAGCAAGTGCTTGATACCAATGGGGTAATCTGTTCCCATTTGGCCAAAGCATTTGATAGAAAGGAGCTGGGGCTGAAACACAGAATGCAAACTGTGACCAGGTTATGAAGGGTGTGACAAATAGTTGAGGGACTTGCAGACATTACTGTAAGGAACCTCTGTAGAAGGGAGATCTATTGTAGGCAGAAGTTTCTGTCCCACAAGCAACTCCCAAATACCCAGCAGCCACTTCCCACATTACCACACAGAGGCTTATATTAATTATAAATGCTCGGCCAGTAGCTCATGTTTGTTACTCGCTAACTCTTACACTTAAATTAACCCATATATCTTATCTATGTCTAGTCACGTGGCTCATGGCTTGTTACCTCATTTTCTACACATCGTGCTTGTTTGTCCTGCTTGTTCAGCAGCTGGCTGGCATCTCTCTCAACTCCTCCTTCCTTCCCATCATTCTCAGTTTGACTTTCCCACCTAACTTCCTGCCCAGCTATCGGCCTGTCAACTTCATTAACCCATGAGAGTAATACATATTCCTAGTATAGAAAAAGATTGTTCCATATCAACCCATGATTTGTTTTGCTTTTCCAAAAGATTAACTGCCCTGGGGATTACAGAATGGAGAGAGAGCCCAGTGATTTTCTCTGGGATAGGAATTGTTTTTCTTACTCTTCATTCTTTGTTTGTAATTGAGACACCAGAAGAGTTTCATCAATGATCAGAATGAGATGATAGGATATACCCCAGAGCTACTGACCTATTTATTTTGGGGGTAAATGAATGCTTAAAACAGAGATGACTCTGGAGTTATACAAGCTTCCTTGAGTGTGCATTCTTTTGCAGTACCTTTCTCCTGGTACTTTGTAATGAGGTAGTTGGACAGATGTAAAGAGTGGCCCTATTCAATACAGGTGTCATGAAATTTCCACAAAATTACCTTAACTAATTAAAATACTGGTGTACCTTTGTGTTGATACACTTTGTGTCATTGTAAGCAAAGACCTGAGAGTGGATAATGGATAAAGGACAGATTTGTTTATTATAAGGGGAGGGTAAAGAAGCTCCTATCTGGCCAGGGCCTTTTTGCTTTGTTAGGACATGGTTCAAGGCAACATAGGGCAATAAGGAATGCAAGAGAATGTGTAGCCTCAAACCCATTCATAATTAACATAAGCCCTCAGGACCTAATCACCTCCCAGTGGGCCCCACCTTGGAGAGTGAGTCTATTGCATGTGTTTTTTTTTGGGGAGTACATTCGGATCAGTCCTTCAAAACCTTGAAAATGTATTTTGTAAAAGAAAACAGAACTCAGAGCATTCTGTTACTAAATCCTGTAGGCAGAGTTTTGTAGACATTTTCTGCAAAGGGCGCCACTATAAATACAGTAGCCTTCCCCAGTTCGTGATTCCATGCCCGGTGTTTTCTATTACCCACAGTCAACAGTATGAGTCATCTTGTCCTGTGTCTAAAGTGCATGTACTGCCCATCCCTTAGTCACTCGGTAGCCATCTTTTTTTTTTTACCGGATAGATAGTTGAAAATAAATTCTTGACTTCAAGTCACCATTAATTTACTTAGTAATGGCCCAAGTGCTGGAGTAGCAATACTTGAAATTCTCCTGTGCCAAAAAAAGCCATGAAGTGCTTCCTGTAAGTAGAAATGTGAGAGTTCTTAGTAAAAAAAAAAAAAAATCATGCTAAGGTCACTAATATCCACAATGAAAACAACTTTCCATGCATTGTGAAGGAAAAAAGAAAATGTATGGAGTAATAAAAAAAAGTATCTGTAAGGTGTTTGGTGCTGTCCTTGGTTTCAGGCAATCTTTGTGGCAGGGTTATCTGATCTTGGTAGGCAGCTCTGTAGGGAGCTCATCTCACAGGAGGAAGCTGTGGTTGGTAGTTTCTATATACACTGTCAACATTCACAGTGAAGACTAGAAGGTGGCTTTGCCAATTCGCCCGTATCTGAGGCATTGTGGTCCTTGACATTGCTGCTCTGTGCTCATGTCAATGACACATTTACTTACGACTTCCTCCCCTCCCTATACCCCACTCCAATGCTTGATAAACTTTACCAGTGTGTTTGTAGAAAACATTGATGTTCTGTTTATATTGATAACTCAGAAAAGGTCCACTTTAGCCAATCATTGGTGTATTTCTGTCAAATCTCTTGATTGTTAAGGTCACAAAGTTTGGGTTAAATTGGCAACAATAACATAATTATTAACAGAGCTAGGACCTGGACATTCCAGCTTTCTGATTTTAGATTCAGTACTGGGTCTGGAATACCATAATACTATTATGAGAGAATAATAATAATAAAATCAATTTAAATTATCCAAAAGGTTAAAAAAGTCAAAGAAAATAAAAGGGAAATTAAATTAAAAAATAAAAATAGAAAGAAAGAGCCAGATGTGGTGTCTTACCTTTGTAATCTCAGTACTCAGGGGGATTGATGGCTACCAGTTTGTGACCAGCCTGAGCAGCTGCAAAGTAAACTTCTAATGCAGTAGAACAAATTTGACATCCTCTCACACAGAAGGTGAGGGTTTGTAGAATTGTTGGGCTTCAGTTTTATCTTTTAATTCATTCATATTTTTGAGATGGGATCTTGCTGTGTAGTCCAGGATGGCCTCAAACTTGCCATGTTTCCACCTCAGCCTCCCAGGATTTCTTTTTAAAGAAGAATAAGAGGACTTACATAGCCCAAAAGCAAGTCGAAGGAGGAGGAAAGGGGAACAGCCAACTTGAAACTGGATGTAATTTCTGTTTTCCACTCTTAGGTACCTTTAAAGCAAGGTAGAAGTCTTATGGACTGGATTCGACTGACCAGAAGTGGAAAGGACTTAACCGGTCTGAAAGGCAGGTTAATTGATGTAACTGAAGAAGAGCTTAAGACCCACAACAAGAAAGACGACTGTTGGATATGCATAAGAGGTCAGTGGTATTTATTTAATGCTTCAGAAACTTGCTGGCTTTCCATTCGTAATGCACATTCAGACTTTGGTAACACAATTGCTTCACTGGACTGTAAATAATGTCATTCTCACTTTGGACAGTATTCTTCCTTGCAGAAGACAGGGAACTCTGGAATGGAAATCTTTCTTTAGCTTCCCTCAGTTGTATTCTTTTTGAAAGGAAGCACATGTCTGCCAAGTAATTTACCACCAAGGTGATGCAGTTAAAATGTTCAGTGGCACCCAGTATGTGGAATAACTGCCCATCCCAGAGCCTTGTGGTTGAATACTGTTAGAAAAAAGGTCTCTGAAAAATCTAAAGGAAACCATGTGTATGTGTTGTATGCATGCGCACATATTTGTATGTGTATATGCACTTGCTTATGCACATGCGTGCTTGTGAGAACACTGTTCTGTGTGTGTCTGTGGAGACCAGAGGTTGATAAGCTTTAGATTCAATGAGGACACTGTCTCAGAGCATGAGGAAACAGCTGAAGTCAGCCTTTGGCTTCCACACACATGTGCACACACCCACGATAACTGCTACATACACCACACATATACACAAAGAATCAGTTCATTAGGAAGACCATGTTAATGTCTGGTAGCAAAGCTTCAAAGGACTTAACAGACATTAGTAGAATTGAGGGATAGAATTAAAATTTTCGTTGAGAGTTGTAGATTTTAATCCCATTCAGCAATTGTTAGAACAAAATAGACATCTGTAGACACAGTTATGAAAGTGGTAGTGTAGTTTCTTTATTGAACACAAGATGGCGAGGTCGTCACAGTCCATAGACTCTAAGGCTTAGAGACATGCCTATCTTTGTAGTTGAAAAATGGTGAGTTACACTACGTTTTTACCTTATGAACATATCTTTTCCTATCATGTTTTAGGGCCAACATAATCAACAATGGTAAAAATCTTAAGTAAGTGAAAATGCTGTTCTATAATGGCATATCTTGCTACATATATGATCAACATTAAATACATTTGTTGAATGAATATAATCTAGAACTTTAATATTTGTTTGAATATTAAAACCAAAAATTAGTTTTGAATGTTTACTGTTGCTTACCTGAGTGTATCAGACTTTTTTGGGGGCTTGAAATCCCCCTAATCTTTTAACAATTCTTGAGACTATTAAAAGCTTTTTTGTGCACGATACCTCTAAAATTACCATTAATTAAAATTAAGAAAAGTAAGGCATATTTAAAATTAATTTAATAAAGGTAATAAGCCCACTGTATGTTGTAAATAGTACCTATGTTTATGAAAATAACTTTTATAAAAGCAAAATACAGAAATATATCATTTTCTATTTTGGTAAATATCTATAATGTATAGTTTAATAGATGACAGCTCATATATATTGTCATGTTACTGCCTCCTGTCTCATATTACATGTCTATGTATCTTCTAGAAAATCCTACATATATGAAAAAAACAAGAATTTTAAACAAACACAATATTTTAGTTTTATTGGGAAAAAAAATTCACCTTGGACCACCAGAAATGTCTTTCTTGAGCTTCCTCTGGAGACTGTGGTGTCTACTATGAGGCTTTATGACTTATAGAAGAGAAGAAAGAGGAAATGAAAAATTCCAGTCAGTAACATGTGACCCCAAGTATGGTGATACTGTTAATTCTATATGGTGAGCCATTGTGGTTCACATGCATGGTTCCCTAGCCTGAGACACTGTGGCACCTTCATCTGGGAGATGGATGAGTAGACCTACGTGTCACTTGGGTCTAACATGGTGCTATCTGTAGGCACTGTAATCTAGATCTGTGTGTGAGATTACAGTGGAGTGTGTGCTGTTCTGAATCCAGTCATCTGAGGTAGTGTGGCCTGATGCAGGTTCTGAAGGTTGGTAAAGGCTTTTCCTGTCTCTGGAGAGTTTAAGATACGACTAAAAACCAAGCTGTGTGAATTGAGACATTCAAAATTGCCATTGAAAGGGGGAAAAAATTGGCATAATACTTGGTACATACATATAGACAGTAAATACATTTATTGAGTGAATATAATCTAGAACTTGAAAATTTAGTTTTTAATGTGTTTTCTTTACCTCCCTGAGTGTTGTTAGATTTTTTGGTCTTCAAATCACCCCATTCTTCAAATCACCAAGTGTAGAAAACTGTGTATGAATAACTCTGTCACTAAAAAATACCCGAGATAAACAACTTTTTAAAAAAGTTTTCGCCGGGCAGTGGTGGCGCACGCCTTTAATCCCAGCACTCAGGAGGCAGAGGCAGGTGGATCTCTGTGAGTTCAAGGCCAGCCTGGTTTACAGAGCGAGATCCAGGAAAGGCGCAAAGCTACACAGAGAAACCCTGCCTCAAAAACCAAAAAAAAAAAGTTTTCTTTGGCCAATGTTTTTAAAGGTTTCAGTCCATGGTCATTTGACTATGAGGCTTTGGGGCCTGTGGCGAGGTGTTACATGATGGTGAGAGTACATAGCAGAAGAAATTACTTACCTCATAGAGGTAGAAAGGCAGGAGGAGTTGGGTCTAACTTAATGAGCTGAGTTCCTTCCACTAGGCCCAACCTACTGAAAGGACATATATATACTACATGCCAGTAGCACCATGGGCCAGTGCCCAAGAATTCAACATAGACCTTTAAGGGACATTCAAGACCCAAAGTTTAATACTGTATACCCATTACATTTCCTCCTAGAGGTGTATGTCTAAGATTAGTGAAACCATGTATATGCATACAATTCATACACATGAATACAATCTAAATGCCCATGTAATAATAAGTGGATAAATCAGATGTGATTTATCCACATGGCATATTACCTAGCCATAAAACAAAAATTACTTAGGCCTACTTAGGCCTATAGCAGTGTAGATGAACCTTGCAGATATGCTAAGTGGAAAAAGGAAGTCATAAAAGACTATGTTTTTGTATGATTGCATTTATATGAATTGCCCAAAATAAGCAAACCTATTAAAACAGAATGGTTCTTTTGTGTCCACAGAGGAGAAAAGGAGAATGCTACTGAGAGAATGTTCTGTATGTTTTTAAAGTATGATACCATTGTGTAGTCAGTATCCTTTTACAAGGATTCCTGATTCTTGACAGTATGAAGAGATCATTTTTCTTTTAAAGAATGATATCTCTTGGTTTTAATTTATCTTTTTTTAATTGAAAATAGATTGTTTTCCATACAACATATTAATTATAGTTTCTTCTCCCCTAATTCCTCCCAGATACTCCCTACTTCCCCAACCGTTCAAATCTTCACTCTTTCTTTTTCTCATTAGAATACAAGCAGGTATCTAAAATAATAATAGTAATAATAATAATAATAATAAAACAAACTTTTTGTTTGTTCAGAATAGGACAAAACAAAGAAACATAAAAAGAGCCAAAGAAAAGCATAAAAAACATATACAGACCCTGAGACACACATATTCACACACGCGCACACACATGCAAAAAAAAAAAACCCTATGTAAACAAAATTGTAAACTATAATATATAATAAACAAAAGATCTGTAAAGTTAAAAAAATTAGAATGCCCAGACAAAGCATTATGAGACAAAAACCTCCCAAAATACCATTGAGTTCATTTTGTGTTAGCTATCTACTGCTGGGCCAGGAGCTTAAGTGTGGTTTGTATACCCAGTGAGACTCGATTGGAGAAAATGAATTTTTCCTTTGTGAGCAGTTATGAATTGGAGATGGCTTCTAGGTCAAGGATGGTGGGTTTTGTTAATTTCGCCTCTCAGCACTGGGACTGCGTCTGTGTTAGACCTGTGCAGGCCCTGTTTGTGATCCACCATCTCTGTGAGTTCACCTGTGCAGCAGCCCTGTTGTGTCTAGAGGGCCTTGCTTCCTTGGTGTCTTCCACCCCACTGGTTCTTAAAATCATTCTGCCTCCTCTTCCACAGGGTTCCCTGAGTCTTGAAGGGAGGAAGACATCCCATTTGAGGCTGAGTGTTCTAAGGTCTCTCACTCTCTGCATATTGTCCAGTTGTGGATCTCTGTATTTGTTCCCATCTATTGTAGGAGGAAGCTTCTCTGATGATGGTTGAGCAAGATGCTGATCTATAAGTATAGCAGAATGCCATTGGGAGTCATTTTATTGCTGTGTTCATTTAGCAGAATAGTAGTATTTGGTATTCCCCTAGGTCCATGGTCTATCTAGTCTCAGGTTTTTAGCTAACTGGGCAACCATCCCCTAACCTGGGTTCTCTGCAAGAGCAGCATATGCTCTTAACCAATAAGTCATCTCTCCAGCTTCTTGATAGTTAGTTTTGATTTTTGACTTAACACAGTAGAGCATTACCGAGAAGGGAGTCTCAATGATGAATTGTCTAGATTAGGTTGGCCTGTGGATGTGCCAGTAAGGGATTCTCTTAATCGAGTTAATTGAGGTTAGAAGAACCACCTTGAATGTGGGAAGCACCATTTCATGGGCAGAGCTCTGGACTGAATTTACAGGAGAGAGCAAACTGAGTATATGCATCAATGCATTAATTCATTGCTTTCTGTTCTTAATTATGAGATATGGCCAGTTGCCTCAGGTGTAGGTAGATTTTTCTTTCCCACCAGCCAGCTCCCAAATAACCACACAGAGACTTCTTATTAATTATGAAAGCTTGGTCAGTAGCTTAGGCTTGTTCCTAATTAGCTGTTATAACCTAAATTAACCCATAATTTATTTATTTTTTTTAATTTATTTATTTATTTATTTATTTTTGGTTTTTCGAGACAGGGTTTCTCTGTGTAGCTTTGCGCCTTTCCTGGGACTCACTTGGTAGCCCAGGCTGGCCTCGAACTCACAGAGATCCGCCTGGCTCTGCCTCCCGAGTGCTGGGATTAAAGGCGTGCGCCACCACCGCCCAGCCTAACCCATAATTTATTAATCTACGTCCTACCATGTGGCTTTTACTTCTGTCCCATTTTGTGTGTCCGATTCATACTGTGTCTGTCTGGCTTCTCTGCCCTTCTTCTTCCCAG